CACTCAAAAGGTGCACGTGTGGCTATATGTACTCTTACTGTAATTGAAAAACATAACTATCTAATAAAACGTTCCCCGGCCAAAGAGGTCACCTTAATACTGGAAAAAAATAAAATAAAATAAAATGCATCTATGGTGTTTTTACATTATAGGTTCTATTTCTCAAAAATGTACTAAGTAAATGGGATCGGGTTCTCTAAGTAAAAATGTTCAGGACCCCCAAAAACCTTACAAAAACTAAGATTGGGCCCTTATATTAGCTCTATAATTTATTAAACAGGGTTGTCATTGGACTTATTTCAGTTCCTTATAAATATTGAACTGGAGTAAACTGGATTTTTGTATAAGTCCAGTCCACTTATTTTGTCTAGTCTAAATAGTGCAGCTTATTGTCATTGGACAATGTTCAATAAACTTGAGTTGGGTTGATTGGAATAAGTCCAGTAGACTATTTCTAGTAGGTCAGCTACATAGCATCATTACCAAACTTAAGCTTGTACTTAGTTGCTGTTTAAAATTTATTCAAAGCTAATTATTTTAACACAAAACTTATAAAATTTATTTGAATTACTCAAAAATTTATCTAGCTATTGTAAATATTAAATCTAATATCAAAATTTACAATTTAAAATATAATTGAATTAAATATCTAATTCAGAATTTGCATTAATACAATAAATATTTATACATATATTAGTAAATTAAGCACATATGTATTACATTAATATATATGCATAACATTGGATATATATACAAGTTACTATATTGATATATAACTTTATTTTTAAAAAGCAAGAATACTTAAATTTTATTTATATAATAACTATATAATTAATATTGCAGCTATATTTATACATAGCTAAATAGATTCTTAAAAAAACTTCTGTGAATTAACACAGATAAAAAAAAAAAAAAAGATCTACATTTTATTAATATAAGAAGGCAGATCTAACTTTTCAGCAAATAACTCACTAAGCATCTATTTGGCATGACTATCTCTTTGAGGATGTTCACGATTTAAATGAAAATCTGAAAATAATTCAGTTTAATATAATAAGTCTATTGTATCTTTCTCCCAATCATCATTTAATTTTTCATCTTCAAGCATCGATTCCCATAAACTTAATACTTTCTCTAAGTTGTGTTTATTTCTTTTTGCAGAGTCTTGATTAACTAGTACTTGTAATTCATCTTCACTATCAGTGTCTTGGTTTATATCATTTGTTGGTACTTCTGGTTCTTGGGTTGGACCTTTATTAGCTTTGTGTAATGTAGTAGTTATTGTATAATTATGCATTTGTTTAATTTGTTGAAGTTCATAGTTTCGATGAGCTTGATTTATTACACCCTTTATATATAACTATATACATTTTTTAATATATTTATTTCTTACTTTTAATTGGCATCTTGAAGCTAAATATAAATGACCCATTAAAGACCATAATTTTCAACTAATGCAGTGTTGATACAAATACCCATTATTCAACAAGCTACAAATTCTAACTCTTTTGTACTATGTGAACACCAATTCCAATATTTAAAAATATCTTGCTTAAATTGATCAAATGATGCATCA